GTAATGCTGGTGCAGCCAAAAATCAGGCTGTGTTCCAGTACAATCTTAACACGTTTTCATTGACCTCCCCTCGCTCGAGCGTCTTGCGGCCTGTTTATTACTTTATCAGCTCGGGTGAAGTTTGTCAGATGCGCGATCGAGTCGAGATCACTGTAGCGTTCTCAGAAGACGCAGATGCAAAATGGCGTATGAAGCTGTTTCTGAAAATGAAACGATTGATTTATCTAATCAGCGTGATTAAAGATTATACGCTTTCTGTCTGATGAGACAATGTCGATATTCGGTAAAGACATTCAGTCTGTTCTCACATTTTTACAAAACGGTCTAAATCTCAACTTGCGTAAACAGGAAATATTCAGGACGATGTGGATGATTGCGGAATTTATATCGTTAGCCAGTTGCTCAGTTGTTTAGCTCAGAACTGGACTAAACAGTTAGTTCGAGACTGAATTCAAATGAGAGTAAAAACTGAAAAGCATCAAATCCTTTTCAAGCGTTTACGTCAGTTTTCTTTACGCCAGACCAGACGTCCCTGGAGAATTTATTACTTTACTGCATTAAATCACACCATCACAAGGCAGAAAGTTAAACAAAACACACATGGACTCTTTCACAGCCTAATTTAGTTATTTAATATATTTCCATAGCTATGAAGTAAATTATGATATTTAAAAAAGTAAAGCTGTATAGTTACTGAAGAAATGTTTTACAGAATTTCTGAAGTTAGTATAAATAGTGTAAATAAAAGATTTGTTTCCTTTATTTATACAAAAATTCTGTATTTCAGGAACATGTGTGTTTATGTGTATCATGTGTGTGTGTGTGTGTGTGTGTGTGTGTGTGTGTGTGATTGTTTAGGAGCTAATCACAGCACATATTTCATCTCGGAACTCACCTCGAATCATCAGATTTTGTCCCCTAGAGATCTTTATAAACTCGAACACAGAAGAAGTTCATGTTGTAATATCAGAAATGACCAGCAGAGAGCACTGTGAGCAAATATTTCTGTTTTCTCAGCTGTGAAATTGCACTACTTCAAAGAAACCCTTATTTTATGTTTGAAAGTCTCTAAGCTCAAATATCACATATTGATTTTTTTTGTTATTCTTTTTTAGATATTAATTAATTAATGCTCGTTTTAAATGAAGGGTGCCAATAATTTTGGAGAGCACCGGCTATTTACCGTCATCTTTTTTCTCATTTTTTCATAATTATTTTTGTTGTATCTGTTTTTCTTTCACACCATTTTTGTTCGTTAATTTAATTTAATATTTAAATTCTTTTTCTTATTTTTTTTTTATTCATATACTGTAAAGCACCTCGATATTTTATTACAAAAAAGGTGCTATATATAAAAGTTAATCGTTAAATGTAATCAGAATTATTATCACTGTTTGTACTCAAAAGTATAAAATCGTTTTAAAAGGTAGTAAATAATACTGTACCTTAAAGTGTTACAATAAAGTGAAATAAAATTAATTCAGAGCGTTTACTCCTTGACCCAGTGGATCCATGTCAGTGTGTAAAATGAAACACCATTCCTCATGGTGTGGTGATTTGTGGTGGTTTCTGGTGATTTGTGAGAGTTTGTGATGGTTTGTGGTGATTTGTGAGGGTTTGTGGTGGTTCGTGGTGATTTGTGAGGGTTTGTGGTG